TATCTGCAGTCACGAACGTTTTCAGTAAACAAAAAAATGTCCCACAGCGGAATTTGGCCTTCACGGCTACGTCGAGAGAGAGAGAGAGAACGACGCTTATGGACGGCCGTGCGAGCCGACTGCTTGTTGTTGTTGCGTTTAGTTTGTTGGCTGTACGCACGGTGCGAAAGAAGTTCAACGTTCATACATGCCGAGTGGCGCGTAACGGGACTTGACTTCGCGTGGCTTGTGGGACGTTGCATGAAGCCATAAAATATCACAGGAAAGAAAAAACACAACAACAACAACAACAACATGCACACGCCGATGTATAAATATTGTGCCACGTGACACGTAATTACTTGAATTCTCTCTTCTGTAGTAATCGCTCTTTAACCCTCATAAATCATATTATTCCCCCCCCCCCCACTCCGTCCCATACACACTTCATTTGACGTTAAGCCTACATACAAGTGGACAACGTAGTGCATTAGTGCAAGTGAAAAAAAATCACAAGCCCATTTCTCCCCCCCCCCGCCCATCACCGGTTAGTGACTTGTTAATTCCGTAATTATTTCTCAATGCAAACCTACGCATGCATACGTCCGCACTACAACGCAAATGACTCTGTGCATACAAAAATAATTATTTTTTAAAAGTCATCTCGCCGTGTTGAGCTATTTGTTTCCGTCAGCCTTTGGCCAAAATGCAGCCAAGCAATATTGGTCATGCATGAAATACTGCATTATACATGTGCTGTGAACATATGTAACGTTCTGGGACAAGCTCATATTCCTGTTATACGATCTTCTGCAAAGTGTAATCCATGCATGGCAATAGGCAATATATAATAGGAGAACCAAGCATCTGTCTAACAACGAAATAAAAACCTGCCTGGCATAATCATTCACACGAGATGTCAAGATTTCTATTTCTGTTTTACATACGTGATTATGTATGCATGCATGTATCGCTAGGTGGGAGAGGAAAGAAAATAATAACGTCAAAGCCGACCGTACATAAATTGCAGAAGCCTTTTACACAGACTCTATCTTCACACTGTGGAATTTATGTGTCACGTACAATAATGTACAAAAACAATTGGCAAGCTCTTATTTATTTATCCAAACACTTATTTAGTTATTAAGCTTTGCTTCTATTGCTGCTGCTGCTACTGCCGATGAGAGCGGCTCTGGAATTCCGCACGGTGACATTTTATGGCCGGGACGATGATCTATCGTCATTGACGGGGGATTTGAACGACAATGATGTTGATGATGATAATGCCGACGATGACAATGCAACTCATAGCAAAGATTTAAAAGCGTGGCATAAACTGTGATGGGCAACGCTGCCTTGTTGTACAAAAAAACGGCAATACTATTACAAAATAAAAAAACACCACGACGATGATAATGATGATCACCATTATTACCATCATGAGCAACAGCAGCAGCACCTACAAAGAACAACAGCAGCTTTGCTCCCGGATGGCACGTGAATAGGAATGGCAATTCGTTCGGGCATAATCAATCACGCCGGCGATAAAGACTCCGTGCGTGAACACGCGACTGGGTGAGGAGCAATGATGAATTCAGTGGAAGGTGGCTGTTTGACCTCGCTGAACGCATGGGTGCATCTGGCCCAGCTAAGCTGTAGCTGACCCATATGGCTATTCAGCACCGTATCTGTCCAGGTCATTTTTTTGCATGGTACGGACTGTGGTGGTGCTCAAGGGAGGCATGTGGTAGTGAATTCACCTGTAGATCACCACAGCACAGGGTTCAGGTGCGTGTATGGAGCTGTAGTGTAGTGATTATCACACTTGTTACATGGGGTTCGATACCTGGCCACAGCTCACATCAGTGCTGATTATATGATCTGGTATTGGAATCTCATACCTGGGTTGGCGAATGCTTAAATGACTATCTGGCGCAGTGTGTTAAACATCAACACGAGAGGAACAAAGGCACTCAGGTGTGCGGTTTTGGCCACAACACCGTATCATGCATGCACCGTGCAAGCTTTCATAGTCACTCACTAAACAGCCCTCAGCCGTCTGTTTTAGGCTTACTATTAGGCATCTCTGTCGTTTTGTGAGTGCCCTTTTCAAGGTCAGTCTATATTCATGGCCAGAGCAACCGCCACACACTGGCCCCGCGCACATTAGGAGAATGCACAAAAATGAAAGGCATCGAACAAGAGTTCCCCGCGTTGATTCCCGTAAATTTCCAAAGAAAAAAAAAATCGACTCCGTTGTGTGCGAGGGTCCTGCAGTGCTACGCTTTTGTGAAAATGACAAGCGTAGGAATGCCCCCACCCCCCCCCCCCTCCTTTGTAGGATATGATGACAAAAACCCACGCTGGTCGTTTTAATGAGCGGTCCTGCTATGCGGTCAAAGCATTGAGAAAGTGGCTGGAGCAAAAAATGACTCACTCCCCCAGAGCAAAAAAAAAAAACCGTGACTCTCAAAGGATTTTAAATCTATACAATTTTTTTTTAAGAAATGTGAATCTTCATATACGTTTGGGTTGGTCCAACCCAAACGCCAACCCCTACAAAAGCCATGATATTAACACTCGCGTCACCCCTTTCACTTAATTGCTACTCCCTAACACTATCCTTAATAGAACCTACCTCTGACATTAATTGTAGCCCATATCCATAACTCTAACCATAGTAACTTCAGCAATGATCACCATCAAACCCCCACCAGTATAGCACTATCCTTCACACTAACCCTATCCATAACCTTTATCTCTAAAACTACCTGACAATATTAATCTGAACCATAATCCCCTTCCTATAACCTTAATACTACGCGATCCTTAACACTAACCCTGCCAAAAACAACCCATCCCCACTCGAATATTTTACGCTATCCTTAACGCTAACCCCGTCAATACCATTGTCATTAGCCACGAACACTTCCTCTAATGATTACCGACCAACAGACACTGCTAGCCTTATCTTTAACACGCATCATAGCCCGTCGTGTGTTGGAATCCACTGATTGATTAGTTTTTTTTAAAGCATAGCGGTTACGTTACGTGACATGACATCCCTCCCAAACGCATTCGAGACTCGTGCGCTTGCACAAAATCAAAGCCAGCCCTCGGCTCCCAACGCACGGCTCCATCTCGTAGCTGCTGCTCTACTCTTGTGCATGCGCATAGCTTATGTGCATGGGGGAGCGGTGGCGCAGTGGTTTGCGCCCTGCGCTACAAACCGATCGACCCTAGCGCTGGCCAAATGACAACCCTCGTGCATTGCGCAGGCCTTGATAGGTGCTCGCCAATAGCGTGTTGGCCAAAGAGTCTGTGAAATGCTACACGGAGGGGGGGTGAATCTTTGTCTTTGCGTGACAACTTGAGTTCAATTACCGGCCACGGCTGACATCAGTGGCGAGTGATATCTGACGAGGTCGTGGGCCAGCTCCTAGATCAACTCAGCCTCAAATGAATACCGAGGGCGGTGTTGCAAACATCGGTTTTTGGGGAGACAAAGGCTGCCGGGCGTGATTCTGACCACACCACCGCCCCCCCCCAGTGCACCTTGCGTGCCTAAATAGGTGCTCGCTAACAGTAGTTTAAAGGCTATGCGGTGGCATGATTCACTCACTGCGCAATGATCCCGGCCACCTGGATTCGATTCTAAGATTCGTGGACATCGTCGGTGACGAGTGCTAATTTGATCTTGTATCCTGTAAGTCGACTTCGCGTTAAAAGCGCACAATCGACAGAAGGGGAGGCGAATGTGGTTTGCATGGCATGAGCGCTTCTTTGCACCACCACGAGTCCGTGATCTTGTGCTGTGCCAACCTTTAATAGGTGCTCGCTAACCACACCCCCCAGCCCCCAAACAAGCCCGCAGTACGACTGAACAGGGGGAGATGTTCGTCTCTGTCTCGCGCTGCTGTGTGATCAGTACTCTACTGATTTTGTGTTGTTGTTCCCACTCCCCCGAAGGAAATGCAGCCGCGGAGAGATGGAGCTGAGACAATTGGCCTCTCGTGCAATCGTTTGCGTTACACGCAACAAAAGTCAAATCAATAACGGCAATAACGGCGGTGGCGACGGGCTTTGAGAGGCCTCTATCCAGCGGTGGATTGATCATGGCACCAGCTGCTGTTGCTGATGTTCTTGGTGGTGGTGGTGGTGGTGGTAATGCGTGGCTTGGCTGTATAGCCGAGGCAAGGTGGGAAATCCGCGCTCTTATATTCACAATAAGCGACGAGTCGAGATGAATGTTAGGAGATGCGCTCGTGAGAACGCGACAACGTAACGGCTCCCCTCGCCCTCCATCCGCTACAACGCTTGTTAGCGAGTGCCCACTGAGGTCGTCTCGACCGGAGCATGAAGATTATGGCGTGGGCCATGAATAACCAACTCACGCCCAGCCGTGTTTGTCTCCCCGCTGTCGATGGCGACTTTACCACTGACTGCCGTGATCATTTGAGTCGCGACTTGACCGAGGCGGTACTTAAGCGAGGTTCAGATTGCAATCGGCCCATGGTGTTGATGATGAAAGTACTGCTGTTAATTACATTGACATTATTAGTGCTGCCACTGATGTTGTTGCTAATTGTGATACTATTAGTGCTGCTAATGCTGCTGATAGTGCTGCTGCTGCTGTGCTGATAACATTAACGCTGGCGCTGCTGCTGCTGCTGATAGTGTTGCTGCATTGGCTACTGCTGATGATGACAATATTAATCCTGCTATCGTTGCTGCTGCCGATGATTATGATCACGATGGAATTAAAACGTCGCGGTCAGTCCAATGCCATTGTCGCAGGCATCGCTATAGCAACTTAAGCGAAACTCGAGTATCCGAATAACAGTGCTGACACTACACACAAACCTACATGGACAGACACAAGCGGACACACACACACACAGGCGCACACACAGACGCGACTACGACTACACCGCATGTCCAGATACAAACACGAGCACAGGTAAACGGCGAGTGTCAATACTGTTGCATGAGCTGGTGCGCTGCGATGCAACCGTACACACCTCGTTTGTTAAGTGTTGGAAGCTCCCAGCAGCATTGCCGAACGATGCTCCTTTTTGTTTGGTGCGGGACGAGGGCTGCGCGAATTTTTTTTCTTCCGTCCTTTGAATTAAAAACAAAAATCTCAGAGCGACGAAGACGACGACGACGACGACCAAGTCCGTTCTTCGGCACGGATGATGAAAAAAAAACAACCCAAAGACGGAGGGTATTATTCTTCGGAAGAGGCCCTGGAGAAGTGCCGAGCTTGAATCTCGGATAAGTGTCGTGCGGAGAGCAAGCCCTGCACCGCCGTGCGCGCAGGAGGACTGCTCTACACAAGCAGCGCGCGATTGTCCGCTAACGGTATTCCATGTAAGGGATAGCCAGCCCCGCCAACCAAGATTCGTTTTCTAACACTTGCGGAAAGAGAGCGTGGAGAACAAAAAAATAAGCTTAAAGCGCAAATTTAAGTAGGAGTTGAAGTTTAAAAAAAAAAGCAAGTTCAGGATTTTTTGTTGTAAATATGTTATTCCTTTACACTTATATCACAAGACGTAATGAATACAGACCGCAAACATACGTACCGTCTATCGGTACACACGTAAAAAAAAAAATCACAGTGAGAACAGAGGCTACAACACTCGCATCGCTATGCAGATTTGCGGACCGAGGACATCGCAAATTCTATTACAACAAACGCGGGAGAGAGAGTTTAAATGAGCGTCCATTGTGAGCGTTGCCCAAGCGCACTACGAGAGAAAGGCGTTACTGTCGGCCGAGTCGCGATGCCTGGCCCACTCAGCTTAGTTTGTGAATCGAGTATGAACGTGAGCTGAATACGTATTATGGTAACTGTTGGCTCTCTCTCTCTCTCTCCCTCTCTCCGTTCTCTCCCCTCTCTCTCTCTCTCCCCGTTGCCTCCAACCCTCCCCACAACCAAACACCCACCCACCCACCAACCCTTTCTTTCTCCCTGCCTTGCCTCTTCCTTATCCGAAGGGATGTCGCGACACGAGATGGGGAAACCCGACTCGAGAATGTCTGAAGTGTAATGAACAACAATTACGAAATTACGTGCTGTTCTATAATACACCGTTCACCGATCATCGCCGTCGTCATCAGCAGCGGCGGCAGCATTAAAGGCAATTGTCTTTGTGAAGCGACTGACATGGGCGAAGATCACAAATTAGACTGGCCACCCTATACCTCAACTGCCACCTCGCCACACGTTAAGCGGGCCCCCTTTTAATTTGGCAATCATTTCAGTGGCTTGTAATGCGGGTGCGCACGACGTGTGTGCTCTTCTTAGCGCTGCCACTCGTCTCCATGTGATGGCGTACGGGGCGCGTGGTAGCGATACGCACGGAGGATGGGGGAGAAGAATGTGTGATTCTAGAACTGCTGTGAGATCACACACGAGCCTCAGAGTACGGTCTCTATCATCACCATAGTCCACGCTGAATCCGCTGCTAGATGAAGGCTTCCCCAAGCCGCCGCCAGCGCTCAACATAAATGCATTAATCCACGTTCGTGCCTGCGCACTCGAGCTGATCTCATCGCTCCGTCTCCCGTCGGAGGGACGTCCCTTTCTGTCGCCTGTTCACGTTACACATTTTGTCTGCGCTTTGTTAGCTACCATGGGGAGGGTCAAAACATCGAAGGTATGGCGTCGCGTCTATCCAGCAGTGGATTGATAGTGGCTGCTGTTGACGATGAAGAGTCCATTATAGCGTCTTACCTTTACAGGAATATCAGTGGCTTGTTTGTTTTGTATTCCCCAATCCAGAAAGAGCCTTACAAATCTGAACGTCCCCAAACCTCATTTCCTCCACCCTCTTCAAATGGTGCCCTATTTGCTGTACCGCACGTTAGGCTGTCCGTTTGAAAAAAAAACAACGAACCACATTTCGTTTGCAAGCTATACGTCGGTCGTGAGCAGGCGTTAATTGCACGCGCTCTGCGTCGAGTTAGATGCTCTCTGCACTTACCGGTGCTCGGTGGTATAGGGGGGTGAACGGATAGCTCCGTCGTCAAAGTTGCCACGGGCTTCGAGAGACACCAAAGCGTTGCGATCGTCTCAGTACATCCCGTCAAGTGCTGCGCGCTCCCGTCAGTAAAGCCCTCCGAATATTACAAAAAAAATTACTTTACGATAATGGCTTGGTTTATATACGTATATATTATGCATCGAAGGGGTAAAAAAAAGTCACCTATTTTTGAGGTCGATAATTAAGTAGAGCCTAAATATTGACTGGCAATTATTTATGTAAATATCTACGATTGCGAATGTTTTTGGAATAAGCACGAGCAAACAACTAATGGCATGACATTGTGCTGCATTGCATAAGCCATGCGAGTAAGAGAAGAGAAAATAATCCTACTTATGCCCGTATTCGCTCCGAATATTCACGCACCCAAGACTATATATGAAGAAGAAAAAAAAGATTCGTCCTGCGCTTCAGACTGCGAGCGCTTTCGAACCCAACACCGCTCGCTAATCGCAAGACCACCACATCGCAACAACAACAAAAAATCGAATTCGACGTACGTCCTATAAGCCACTCATGATGACGGTAATCATACTGCTGTCGAATAAGTGCACACATTTATCGCATCATTCAACTGCTGATGCTACTGTGTCCTTTATTCTCGCTGCTGCTGTTGCAGGTTGTTTGCTGTTGTATGTAGATTGCCCCTATTTTCGGTTGTGTGGAATACAATCTCTCTCCCCCCCCTCCCCACCTTTTCTTCTCTGTAGTAGCAACTGCACCGGAGCTGCGTTGCGTTGTGAGTGAGCCGCTCTGTGTGTGGGCGTGCTGCCTCTGGACTGCACGGAACTCGCCACGGATGAACGTCCCTGCGTCACACCGCACAGCAAAAAACCCCAACAAGCTCACGGAATAAAATCATCATCATACCATCAAACCATCTACAGGAACAATACGGAGGGGGAACCCCCCCCCCCACCATGTGTCTCAAGGACATTAAAAACGAAGTTAAAATCGCATGCAGCTTGCGGCAGAAGATCAATATTTGCATAGATTGATTTAGGAAGAATTATATAAACGTGTACATACAAATATATTTCACATCCCTTGGGTTGTTGTTGTTGTTGCTGCCTTGTATTGCATTTTTGATGTATGCGCACCTAATTATAACCTGCGTAATACGTCTCACTTTCGGCTCAACCGACGCATGCGTATTTTTTTAATAATCAGAGCATAAAAAAAGAGAGTCAAAGGGGTCCATTGAGCGATGGTTGCACGAGTGGGGGGAGGTGGTTGGAGTGGGTTGAGCCTGATCCTGGACGTTCAGGTACATCCACAGCATCCACAGAGTGCGCGGATGCCGTGTGCCCATTGGCAATACTACAGCATCACGAGAGGCACGCTGCCTCGTCACGTTCACATCTGACGCGGCTCTGTGTGCGCGTTAAACAAACAAACAGGTTGTTTGTGTGTGTGTATCTGGCGGCCAGGCGTGGTGTTGGCTCGCTAACAGCACTTGCCCCAACAATATGTTAAAGGCTATACGGGGGATCTTTGTATTTGTCTGGCTACGAGCACTGCGCAATAACGCAACGGCTGAACGTTGTTGTTGCTGCTGCTATACTTACCCCTCGCTCCATTAGAAAAAAACAAAAACCTGAACTACAATGTTCCAACATCAACGCCAGAAGAAAATAGGCTGGCGTTTGAGATCGTTCAACCAATAGAGGGGCTCTTTCGGCTAGGGCGATGTGGCATGGTCAAAAACGGCCGAAGCAACACTATCGAATATCTGGCTAAAACGAAACAACTGAGAAAGGCCCACGCATTGCAATTGTGGAGGACGGGCAAATAGGTTGAGGGATGATGAGCATACGAGATCATACGAGATCATACGAGACCATCCATACGAGACTATCCATACGAGACTATCCATACGAGACCATCCATACGATATCATACGAGATCATACGAGACTATCCATACGAGATCATCCGACGCTAGCCCTACACATATCCGTAACCAACTAGCCAGCCAGATAGAGCTATTCGTTATATCTGACTGACTCTCAACTGACTCCAAGCAGCTAGCTTGCCAGGTTGCTAATACTATCCCGCCCACGGGTTCTATCCGTAACCAACTAGTTAATCAGCCGTTTTTACTAGGCCTCTTGCTGAGCATAATCATAATCAAGTAAACCAGCTCGTCGTTTCCTAACTAATCAACTCGGTGTAACCAATAAGCTAACCCGCCTTATTATGATAGTTTTCTCCACTAAACCTTAACACCACCATAACCTCCACCTCCCATAATCGATCCCTAACACTACCCTTACTTCCACCGAACCCTATCACCACCCTTACCTTCACCTAACCCTAACACCACCCTTACCTCCAGCTAACCCTAACACCACCCTTACCTCCAACCTAATCCTAACACCACCCTTACCTCCAGCTAACCCTAACAACGCCCTTACCTCCAGCTAACCCTAACACCGCCCTTACCTCCACCTAACCCTAACACCGCCCTTACCTCCAGCTAACCATAACACCGCCCTTACCTCCACCTAACCCTAACACCGCCCTTACCTCCACCTAACCCTAACACTGCCCTTACCCCCAGCTAACCCTAACACCGCACTTACCTCCACCTAACCCTAACACCGCCCTTACCTCCACCTAACCCTAACACCACCCTTACCTCCACCTAACCCTAAGACCGCCCTTACCTCCACCTAACCCTAACACCGCCCTGAAATCCACCTAACCCTAAAACCACCCTTACCTCCACCTAACCCTAACACCGCCCTTACCTCCAGCTAACCCTAACACCGCCCTTACCTCCACCGAACCCTAACACTGCCCTTACCTCCACCTAACCCTAACACCGCCCTTACCTCCACCTAACCCTAACACCGCCCTTACCTCCACCTAACCCTAACACCGCCCATACCTCCAGCTAACCCTAACACCACCCTTACCTCCAGCTAACCCTAACACCGCCCTTACCTCCACCTCCCAGTGCTTCGGCAACAGCCCCTTTCCACTTTCCAATTCACCGTTCACTTGCAATGCTCGGTATGGTCACTGCCATCATGCTCAGCCGCATCTTCAATTATCACGGTTGGCTACCTACTCTGGAAAAGAGTTTCAAAATACATACAGCACACATCTGAGTGAGATCGCAAACCTGGGCATCGCCGCTTCCTCACAACCCATAGTATCGTAACTACATTATGAGCTAAAGGCGTGCGGCAGTCGGTTAGATGGGCGCCCCAGTGTTTGATTTGTCTCGCACGGTCGCACCTAGAGGCTATTATATTTCACGGCCTCCTCTTGCTATACGCACACGGTCTCGAACATTTAACGCTGTAGGGGCGCACCGTTTTAAATACCGTGTTTTTGTTTTCTTACACTGTTGTTGAAAACAATCTCACGGTGGTTGTCAATGAGGGCCCCAAACTCGTAATTTTGGCCACCAGGGGCAGGGCGAGGGTGGGTGCACCCCCCCCCCCGCCCCCATTGCTTGTCACGCTACTTCGTGGCGTGCTTGCACGTCAACGAATGTTCAATGCCTGCATCTGGGCTCGGACACCTAATTAAGTGGATTCTTTAAATTCTGCGCTACGAGCTTGCGGAGAAGCGTCACACCGCGCCGAGTCTACAAACCGGACGACAGCTAATGATGTCCCAATTATCTCGGTCACATTGAAATAATCCCGGCGAGGGTAATCCTTTAGGTAGACTCAGCCTCGACACGCTTTTTCAAGCGCTTAAAGGACACCGCTGGAAAGGAGGTCTTTATCTTTATCTAGCCCTGCATATCGTTAACCCATGGAATGTTCCCACACCTC